CCAACGCCCACGTCGTCAGTTTTACATTGTGACCACCATATCCACACCCGCCATTGAGGTCCTATTCTGCATCGACGTGCAGCTGCCATAAATTATTTGAAAGAAATTTTTTTCCTCGATCTGAAACACCAATTATTGACTAATTAAAAACATATAGATGCCAAGTGCACCAAGAATCAAACATAGGAAATATAATACAGCATTGGGTCGCAAGAAATGGCATGTTTAAAAAAATTAATAAACGCCTCTTTCGATATACAAACAATGTTATATTAACATGAGATATTATCTAAATAATCGTGTAATAGGAACCTCTGCTTTACTATTCATTGAGAACGAGGTCAGTGAGGTCCTAACAGGGAGACAACTCGTGCGATACTTCCGGGTTGAGGACGCCGCTGCTGAATCTACCACCAGGGAAAGACTTAGACGAACAGCTAGTCGCTGAAAAGAACATATGTTACATAATTTTTGTGTGATAAATCATAGTTATAAAACAATATAAATGGAGCCCAGTGACTTACTTCATGTACTGGATATATTTGTTTCAGGGTCTGTATGACTGACAAGGAAAGAATGTGTTCTCGTTCAGTTAACATGGGAGCATACATGGTATAATCCGGATAGGAAGTCCTGGGCCCTTGCACAAAACAACCTTAACGCTAACCGTAGACTTCCTGCTCCAGTCGCTCGGTGATAGTGGGTCCAGAGAAAGAAACCATGCTTGTCGTCAGAGGTATAGAAATGAGGATCGTTTGGTCACAACGGTATAATTTTGCTGATGGATTGTCACTGTGTCACTTTGTAATGTGATAAAAATGTTTAGGTAGAAGTGTCATTTCGAACAGGCCTTTTATTCCATCCATGCTTCAAGTGGATGTGGCCGACAATCCAGACAATACACAAAACAATCTTGTACATCTATCTAAAGTGGACATATGATAAACTGAATTTAACACCGGTCCACGTTTAGAATTCAGCACCACCATGTTCACAAACACGTCATACTACTTACGTATAAAGGTGCTTCAAAAGAACTTACCAAAGATTTGTATCTACGCCTTCAACTGGAAGCGTATTGGTTGACAAATCCAATGGCAAATCGTATATATAAAACTCGTTTCCCATTTTCAGTGAGGTGTGATCTGAATGTGACACCTCTTTTAACAGTGTCGATTATTTTCCGTGTTTTAAAGGGGTATAAATACGATCGCCGTGCTTAATATGTTTGACAAATTGCTTTTATATATGCCGTTGATGTACTTAATTACATATATTGTCGAGTTGAAACAGTACTGATGCAACCTTAAATTGTAAACTCACTCACTCCCTTCTATGGTGTTCGCAGTAAAACAAAGAGCACGAGTATAGTGTTGAAAAGAACCAAGTCTGTTTGTTTGTTTGTTTGTTGTTTAACACCACAATAATTCAGCTATTTGGCGGCGGTCTGTAAATAACCGATTCAAGGCCAGACAATCCGATGACTAATATTATGAACAACGGTGTACGATGACACACAAGTTACGGAACCTGACCACCCGATTCGCTCGTACGACCAGCATAGGTTGCTAAGGGCCTATTCTATCCAGGCATCCCGACGGGATGGGTTTTGGGGGTGGGGGTGAACACAAGTATGGCAATGGGGGAGAATCAAAGTTTGAACGAACATTCATGGGTAACATTTGCACCTGGGAAATAATCAAGCACCGCGTACAATAAATTTCAATTGAAAATTACCATTATTAAAATAAATTCTGTAGTTATTTTCGGACGAAACACATTCTGTTTTGTTTATATAGTGACACACCTGTATATTATATCCCCTGAAGACCTAGTCATAAAAGGCGACCATGCTTGTCGTAAGGGGCGACTAACGGGATCGGGTGGTCAGGCTCGCTGACTTGGTTGATGCATGTCATCGTATCCAAATTGCGTGGATCGTTATCATGACTGGACTGATTATTTACAGACCGCCGTCATATAGCTGGAATATTGCTGAGTGCGGCGTTAAACGACAAACAAACAAACCAATCATACATATGATATTTGTTAACAGACAAGGGGATTGGGCACAAGTGCCGCACTTATTGCTGCCTTCTCGCCTTCGCCTTATCATATGACATGATCCCGTACTGGCGACAATATCAACAACCACATCTTCATCAGGTATCGGTGGTATTTATCTCAGACATTTACGAGATTAATGACATGTTAAGATATTTACAAAGATACATGAATGTTCGGAATATTTAAGAATAAATAATAATAACAAAATAATAATAATGTGTGAACTTATATTTCCCTAAACTTACACAAGGTCATAGTCCTAACAATATTAACCTAGTCAATGTATCAGTGTACACTGGATTTATATTTCCTTCTCAGCTCCCTTGGGAGTATACACTCAAGCTGCATGTGAAGGGCTAGAAGGTTAACAGCCACATTACCATCTCATCTAACCGGGTACTCATTCATTGCAGGGTGAACAGAGGCACATGTAGAACAAAGGCACTTGCCTTAGGAGACACCACATGTACATATAAGAAAAGATAAGATAAGATCAGATAATATTTATTGCAGAAACGTTCCATTACGGGACAGATGCAATTTTAAAAGACAAGACATTATGATTCATATATACATATATACAGACATACATAATTTACATTTCTGTAGATACATACAAAAACAAAACAATCAATATTACATATTTGATTATATTATTATACATAAAATGTCAACGGTTGATTATGAAGGGGTATTTATTGTTTGAAATGATAGATATGGAAACAAAAGCAGTTGATATTGACTGTACATGTGCTTCAGTGTGTGGCAGGACTGAGCCCCAGAAACTCTCAGGTGTCTAGCTGATGACCGCGGTCACCCATCCAACTATTCTCCGTGACCGACGTTGCTTGTGACCTGTGCACTGTACAAAGCACCACGCGCCACCAGTGGTGGACATGTGTCCAAGTGTATGTCTACCTTGAGATGGGGCCTTATGTCTGAAATATCTGAGTTCCAGTTTTTATCACCGTGTGAGGCAAGCTAGTCGATGGTAAGGTATAGATGTCATCTTGGAAAATCTGCTGTCCCTGTTGTGGGAGTAGCATGTTGTAATTTGTGTGTTAGAGTTTATTTTCATCATTAACGATTAGCCGAAATACAATTCCAGATTTCAGTGTTCAATTAATCTGTTTGAAAACCATTTTTATCGATAAGTGACAAATCTCAACGGATTGGTAATGTTTGTTTATGTTAGCCTGAAGGTTGATTGCAAATAATACTGCAGGTTAGAATGATATGTTCCTAACTTGTTATGGGACTTGAAAAATGGCATTCTGAAATTAGCTTTTGTAGTGTTTTACTGATTACGATCTACTTTTGTTTATGACTGACAAACCACGATAGAACCTCGAGAAACCCCAAAATTCCAGAACCTTCCTTATATCTGGAAATTATGTATATAATATACTGTAGACGTTTCCGAATAATCCGGATAAACAAGATTCAAGTGCATAAAATATTTCCAGCCATCAAAACACCAAAGTAGACACAATTTATGGATAACAACTTCTGTAATTACTGTAAAGGCGACGTTTCGGTATAGATCCTTATACCGTTGTCAAGCAAACGTCGCTTTCACAGTCTACTTTGTCATCCGTCAACTTCTAAGTAATGCCTATCAAACATCAAAACACCGTTTCATCCAAATAGCTACAACCCGACATGCAAATAATTTGTCTTAATTAGATTAATTCATTAAAGTTTAATGGTGTATGTGTTTTGTCAACTGTCGTTCGATACCTCAATATGTCTAAATGGTTCGGTCCGTGCTGGAATGTTGACAATGATGTGGCGCCCCGTGTTTCACCCTTGTTGACCACGTCCAGTACACCAGTGCCTCCGACCTACCATAGATATCCCACTATCGCAGTGGTCATCTGTCACTCGGACCACAACCCTGATTCCGGTAAGACGTTGATCAGCCTACTACCATCACTCATGTCAGTTGCATCACTTACCATGTTCATTGCAATGACTGACTATCTATCGCGTCCTTTAACATGTCACTAGCACATAATGGTTGTCTATTGCATCATTTAAATGTACATTTCACTTAATGATTGTCTGCGACATCAACATGTAGCGTGGATACAACAGCGCCAGTGGATGTCTATTACATAAGTTAGTATGTAAATATCACCAAGACGACATAGCCCCATTCTTCGCTCTCTCGGTATCGTTATTCGGGCCACATTCATCGTCTCTGTTGCGATTTCAGTTGTAAATTGCAATGTTTAATGTGTGAGATATGGTAATTGGCACTTTTAAACAGAACATGCCACTGAACAGTTCTTTCGTTTGATGTGAGATTTAGAAATATTCATGTGCATGTCATGCCGTTCTTTATTAAGCTCATCATTGGTGTAATCTGTTTCACAAAATGGACATTCACTTCAGCTACAAGTATACTAATAAGCCAATTACGGGGGTGATGGATTGCTGTCACTTTCGCAAATTTCCAGTTACAGCGTGTGTAAATAGCTGCCAATTCCTTTTTTTACTTGGAAATGAAATCAACCGCCAACCCATTCGAGCAGAGGTCTGGCCAGAGGTCAGACTTTTGATTTTAAGCCAGATTTAGCGTTTGCTTGTCCAGAAAAGTTTTAATTTGCAATAATCGTTCCCCACTCCCCTCCAAGTTTGCACATCGTCGCTATATCGCCATTCTGACTGTGGCCCAACTCTAAAACCGCCATTGCGCATGTGCAGAGACTATTATCGCTGTGTTTCCGATACATAGAAGGCGAGTGTTGTTTACGTAGGGCCCCCTGAATTGAATTTCGGGCCATCGAAATTGCGGCAATCATTTTCCTTTTGACACAAGTAAATATTTGAAATCCTATCTCCCGATATCCCCTTGATTAGATGTAGGGCTGTGGCCTAGCGTTTAGGCGCTCGGGCTATTTCAACTGAGAGGCGGGATATAAAGCGATTCTTTTACACAAAATGTGCCGCGTTGCCTTTGATAGCTCCCAAACAACTTAGATTAGATATCAACACAACAAAGGCCAAATACCATACAGAAAATTATTTTTCGAGTTTTGATTACGGTCTGGGCTCTCCGTTTCCCGTTCAGACCAGGCAGAAACGAAGAAGTGGCTAATTTATCACTCGGAGCCTAGGCCGCATCACAGCAAATCCTTCTTGTCAGCTAGTTGTATGCGTCTGTGATACGATCGTCCGTATTCGACTTATTCGCCTGAGTCTTTCCTTCAGTCAAAGGGCCGTGTAGAAATGTAAATCTAGCGCTTGGCAGGACGAGTATACCTCGCTGATAATGCCCGTCCTGGCCGGCACTTGTCCCCCTGCCTTGAGTCAGCGCACAGAGAGACGCTGGGCGAGTACCACCACCTTTCAGACCAACGTGCAGCTAGGCTTTGGGGGTCTACGGAATCCGCTCCAGATCCGGACCAAATTGCTCCCTAACCGGGACGTGCAGCTAGGCTGACCCGTAACCCAAACCACAGTGAGAGGTAGGAAACTCTACTTCTCATCCTCGTTTTTCCCTACCGGATATCCCATAGGGGCGCAACGGGATTGTGTGCGGCCTCTCGTAATATCTCGTTGTCTTGAGACTTGGATCCTCGGGGCTTTCTGTGGGCATGGGGGGAGACTACGCTTGAAAATAATTTTTCGATTAGGTTGCCTTTTGGAAAAAATACTTTTTGATATTTTGTGACGTTTTAATAATTTTTCAGAACGTTTTGTTATTATGTGTTCAGCATGTGATTGTATTTTGACACCTTCGGCAATTGACTTAAGAATTTTTTTTGCGTATTTGCTGTGAATAAATGCGTTAATATACTTCAACGGTCCCAGAATCAACACATATTGAAAACGACCATTGCCATTCAGGCCTGTTTAAACCAAGCATACAGTTTATACAACCATACCCGCCGGTGTTTTCAGCTTTGAATTGTCAATTTCATACGCCGGTGACTTTGAATAAGTGAATATTTTATGGAGTAAAGTGATATGGCATTTTCGTACAACGAGATAGGTATTTTCCCCGCATCGGACTCCCGTGTGTCTCCACTTAAGCACCTCATTCTGTGTGATAACTTGACCTTCAGAAATAATTTACCCAGTAAGTCTTAAGTGTAATATAGTTCAGATTTGCGTATTATTTAACCGAAATGATCTACTCATAACGCGGTCTCTTTCTGTCACATTAATGATGTATGCCGCCGATTTTATGTTTGATAACTCCAAAACATATTTTTGCCGCTCTATTATTTAATATGATTGAAATATTACCAGGACACACATTTGGTGTTGAATTGTGGGTTACGGTTTGAGTGTGTGATATTGTGTGATGAAACAGATACGTATCATATGTAATATGAAGAGAGATCAAATATTCATCAACCATTTTGTGTGAAATATTGTGTTATTGTAAGCACAATTATCCCATGTTTTTTTAACGGATGATCTAAATGGCATTTGGATAAATTATGTGTTCTGTTATATTTTCACCGATGTTTGAGGTTGTGTAATAATGTCCTTTTTTTAAAAAACGTTTTAAAATTGCATTGGATATTTTTTGTAAATCTAGTCAAAGAAATCATGATACATTTATTCGTATTAATCGCGTTCTTAATTCAAACGAGTGAAAACTTCGTCCAAATTAAGGTTTAAAACTTTGGAGATTATCGTCATCTTTTGATTTAAAAATATCCCCCAAAAGTAGTTTTAAATACACAAGACCCCATACATCCAACAACATAATATTCCATCTGATTTTATTAAAATTAAGGCGACACGTTTGAATATTCAATGGAGACAAGGCCTTGTCAATAATTTGAAACATATTTCATTTTTTAACACTACCGATGATTTCTTTGCGGCTCTGAATAAAATGTCAAACAATTTTGTTTAGTCTTGCGTACAGTGAAACCGTTAATTTTTGCGAATATTCCGAGAACGACGATGACGGAAACATTGTCAAGACATGCGTAAAATTTTATGAATTGCTTCCCTCTCGATCGTGTTTCAGTTTGGATCCTAAAGAAAACATATTTTCTGCCAAGCTCTGCCACAAGGAAAGTAATATATTGGATACATTTTGTAGGTAAGTAAATTATATTTAGTCAAAAGGCGCTGGCACTTAGCAAATAATGTTTACGTATCGCGCAACGCATGCTGGGATATGGCTCGTAAATTGTCTATATATCCCGTCAGGCAAGTAGGCCGGGGAAGGTAGAGCTAACCTAATTTGCGAAACAAGCTTTTACGTTGCTCCATTTATGCGATAAAATATTTTGACGCAATGTGAAAGGATTTAATCCAAGTATGTCAAATCGGCCTGAAAACGAAATTATATGCATGGGAAATTTTGTAAGTTTATTTATTCCAAGATAAAATTTGTATTAGGTTGATAAATAGCATTAAATTGATAGACTAGACATCACTGTGAAAATGTTTACATACTGGGTGAAAGAGATATTAGAAGAATTTCACCGTAATTGTTTTGCACCAGTGTTCGCTTGCTTCTGTCACCGGGCTATTTTAAATATTTTTGAAAATTGGTATATGATTTAAAGTTTTAGATTTTTAGGAAATACTTATTCGAGTATTTTAGAACATACTAATGAAATGATTTGAAGCAGTTTCGGAAGAAAGTAAATATGAAATTTGAATTGTTTTTGTTATATAAAAACTGAAATAGAATGTGTTCTAGCTGTATTCATCTCGATTTTCTTGCAAAAGGTCTTAATACTTAGAGGCCGATTGGTATGTCTTATCGACTGAAATTTGTTGAATACGAGGGAAAACTTCATACAGATATGTCACATCATGACTGAACTGCGAGTGTGTTTATACCACAGACAAACTGTGAAACACGTCTCATTAAAGTATGGCTTCGTCAAAACAAATTTTCACTATCAACGAAATAAAATTAATTTGTAGATTTAAAAAAAAGAACTGGACTGACAATATCTGCGGTAGTTTTTTAACAAAAATAACTTTCCGTGGGGCACAGAAAAATATATTAACAAAAGCGCAGTATATTCTCAAAAGTGTATTCTTCTAAAACGATATTCCACACAATCAGGTTTATTATTAGAAGATACTATCTTTATTGCTGCAATATATATTTATTAATTTGACAAAGATTCTAGACACATTGATTACGTTTACGATTTTGTAGAAAACTGTGCAGGAAATCATCTAATTTTAGGCGGATTTTGAATTAAAATAATTATTTATTTTGCATGAATGAACTTTCTCCAATGAACTAAAACAGAGTTGGGGGCGTGGTACGCATGCGGCACTTCCTACAATAACTTCACCATTCTTCCCTCCGTAGACCATAATGTTGTATGTTAGAGCAATGTGTCGATCATTTAATATGACAAAGTTCCAGTAATACGCTAAGAAAAGTTTGTCTGAAGTACTTTTTGAAGGAGAACAGAAAAGGAACGGAACAAATTATGAGAACGTGATGTTTAATTCGAAACGGTAGCAAGCTACTTTCGAATTTTATTTGAAAAACAATAGAATATTGCCTAATTTGCCATAGTAATTTGATTTTAGAATGGTTTCTTTTATACAAATTTGCTAATGCTTTGCAATTAGTTTCGGATATTGGAGCATTAAAGAAAACAAAAGGACTAAGCTTCACAAGAAAGTTTCTCTATGGGGAAAAGTCAAATTTCAATGTTCTCTAGTGACTGGAGAAATATTTTCATTAATTCAGTCCTTGGAGATGCTATGCGAAAGGTTCAAATTGAAAAATCAAATAATTTCACTTGTAAACGATGACTAGTACAGTGTCAGAGAAAAATATCCAAGCAAAAAATGTTTGAGAAGCGACAGAAGTTTGTAACAATAATTCCATGGAAAATTTCTTCAAAGGAAAACTTTTCTTTCATTTGACACTGGGTTGATCTGTGAAAGAATGCATCTGTGTTAAATCCAAAGGAACAAAGTATCTTTTGAACTATAATTCTATATACTTAACCTTAAACTCCACCAGCTTGAATTATCAAATCTAAAAAAATAATATAATCTTAAGTTTACAACATTATTTACTAGTGAAAAGGAGTAGAAATTCTCTTTTATGCAAATGGTCCTCTTTCTATTTAGTTATATAGATTTTGTTACCAACGAAAATCAATTTAGATATTTGTTTTTTTCTACATTTTTAGTGTTTCACTATTACGTTGTCTCTGCCCACATGTTGTTTTCACTTTGGTAGAGAAGAGGAAACAGGACACATCATGACTAGACCTGGTACTATTGGTTTTATGACAGGGCGATTTCTCGCGAGACTGGCTGCTTTTCTCCCAATGGATAAAATTACAGTTTAAAAAACTCCCCCCAAAGGTTCTCATAGTAAATGTTGGCATGATGTCTGAAAAAGTAAATAACGAGATCAGTTTTCGTGTTTGGAAACTTTTTCTTTGAGTCAACATTTGCTCGTTCGTCCGAACGCTATCTTCAGACAACGCATTTTATATTGAACCATGGACCATTCGCATTTCATATTTTGTAAATAACAAATGAACTTCTTTGCATATAAAGATAGTCGTCATGCTTAGCTTTGAAAATGGTATACATCGAAATAAGATCATGTATATATCAGACAAATTTGGATAAAATATGTTTCTTTTGCGTTTTCTCTTTATTCAATACTGCTTCACACAGATTAAATATTTTCGTAGCTAATTAATGATCTAACATTTCCTCTTACCAGTTTTAATTTTATCATAGAAAGTTTGCATGCGTCTTCTTTTGGATTAATTCTTCCGTCGGGTAATGATCCGGTTCTTTCATCACAGATTCGACATGGAAACAGATGTAATAAACACATGCAAGAGATTTCAAGAGGGTCTTAACTGCAATGCACACTTAAAGCGGACTTTCTATTTTGTATACCAGCTTTTAAGGTTGTATTGCTGAAAGATTATAGTGATTCTCCAAACGGTGCCAACAAATTTAAAAACCTCTCGATCCAGCTCATATTTGTTTGCCCTGTGAGGTGTGAATTACTCATTAAATTCAAGGAGTTTTATTCAAAATTCAAAAATTCAAATATTAGTACTTAAATTTGACAGTAGTTTTGATATCACGTGCCCAACTCGAGAGCTGAGAGTGTTATATTTGCTCTTGTCACGTGCATACCAAATGTCCGGGCAACGAGGGTGTTGTAGAGTTTGAAATTTGTTTAGTGATTAATATTCTATTTCAGAGTAACCCCTACTTTTAAGGACGAGAAAAAATGAATTTCATTGAGTAACTACAACACTGGGAGACCCAAATTCGTCATTAGCAAGATTGATAGAATGATAAAGTCGAGGAAATGGGCGCCGGGAGAATACACCCGAAGAACTTCGAACGATTGCACATGCATAACTTTCTGGGGGTTGTAGACATATTCTCAACGACATGTGCCAAGGGAAGCGGTCTCCACACAAACATACAAGATTTAACAAAGTTTACCCAAACATTTATGAATACAAAAACAGCTCCTCGTTTTAAAATGCATTATACGCAATTGTGTTCGACGAAATCGTTGGATGTAATACCGTTGGTGATTGTTACTGTATGCATATATTCATATACTGGTGGAAGGCGTTGAAGAGATGCCGTTGTTTTTAATATTTGCAATAGAGTCTAACTATGAACTAGAAACAAAAGAACCATGCTTTTAGAGTTGCCATGTTCTAATGCTATCAGAATACACCCCGATCACGGCTCCAACACAATTTACATTTTAATGCCCTCATTTTTCACAGCTCTGAAAGGAAGTATTTTGATAGATTGTTCAAATGAATTTAGCATCGCGTTTTGAAAATCAAATCCTCTTTTGCACTTAAGACGACAAAGCAGAGGTTTTAAAAGAAAGGAGATAAACAGAATTTTCAATTTACATTTCCAGGTGGCGCTAATCGATATGAATGCACACATGCCGTCAATATGCATCCGATAACATCGTTTTGTAAAATAATCAAGCTTTTACGCCAGGGCATCAGTGAATAAAGTAACCATGAAATCAATCTAATTTTTTTACGGAAATATCTTTTATGTTGAATTTTCGTTAAATGCTTCCAGTACAATCCAGATTGTTTTGTTGCCCAATAAAAAACCGAATAAAAACTACACACTCACAAAAATACCTGTACATCAAAGCTTTGGTATGTTTCTGTCGGCTAACGGATATCTAAACTTTATTGCACCAAGGTTGTAAATTTTATTTCCTCCTTTGTGGTATTTATAGCACATTTCATGACAGGGTAACAATGTGGAATGCCGTTGGAGATAATATTCCTGAAAAAACCCAGTTAGATAGTTCTGACCAATTTAGACAGTAATGCTTCTTGTAGAAAAGTACCCCTATGAAAGGGTTTCTTCAACGGAATGGTCTTGATTGCTGTGAATATTATGGTGCGATGTTGAATCATATTGCAATACAAACATGTGCAGACCACATGTGCTCAATATTAACGCTGGATGTATTATTTGATTAATTTTGTTCTGTGAAATTTGACTTCTTGTTAAGCATTGATAGGTGAAGCAGTCTGAAATGAATGTTCGAGTGACCGGGAACTATGATGTGAAGCAATGTCTTGATTCCACATCCAAAATGAGTTATTAAAAGCATTCCTATTCGTCTTGGTGTTATCTCCCATTTGAAGGAATCACTTCTTACTTGTCAGACAAATAAATTTTAATTTCCATAAATCTACATACGGTACCGAAATTTACCACAAAAGTCATAAATACGAAACTGGACACAGGAACAAACACCTAGCTTTTCTTTGACAAAAAGTCTCGCGACGTCTCGTACATCCTCATTAACGATAACAAAAGTCCTGTCCAATTTCACATTTGTTCATCTTTATAAAATTTGATTCCGATTAAAAGAAAGCACACATTTTTCATGTCTTGAAAATCCCATAAAGGTCCCCCTGCCACGAGAAAATGTCCAGTAAAGTCATCACTTAAACCACCTTAGAGTTGCGGCGGCCCTTCCGCCGCCATTTTCGCGACTTTCACGGACTGCGCACGACGCACCAATTAGCATCGTCCGACGGATATATCCCGTTCTAGTCCCGGTGCTGAGAAAGAAATCAATTTATTTCGTACTATTAGTGCGATGAGCTGCAAGTGATTTAGATGGTGACAAATAGTAAACTATCAATTTCCTCTTCATCATCATTAAGGACCACTCGTTTCCGAGAGGAGGAGAAAATTACCAAGGGAGGACCGTCATTCTGGGGCGCGAAGTTCTTCCACCTGATCCGAACTACGAACATTTGCGATCTCGTTAACGTTGTCCGCTCCAAGAATCATGGAAACTGAATGTTTAACTGAAGTTCTGGGTCAGTTTAATTTGAAATCTCTGATGAAAATGACCTTTCCCTTTCTAACTGCACGGATGGCAATACCACCTTGGTCAATATAAGGATTCCCGTGTTTGTTGAAATCGGAAAACATCCCCGTCGAGGTTTTCCCGTGAGACATGGGGCTAGATCTAGGATGTTTTTAACTTCGGTATAAGTATGTTGCCTTGTGCTTTTACGGAAACTGGAGTCTGACAAAATAATTCGATCAGTGTCACTTTACCTGATGATGTGTCGTTTACCGATCTCAACTAAAGGTGACACCAGTTCATAAGGCGGTGGTTGTCTTATTATGAAATTACCTTTCTGTGTGTATGTTTATTCAATTCGTAGTACAAAGGTTGTTGGATAGAAGGTCAGATAAATCAGATTTACATTCGAGGTTTTGGTAACAGGTTTTAGACTCAAGTTTCTTTGTCAAGTGGAACAATTGAAACCACCTCTTACACAAGAAAGTCATATTCGTATTTTGTAAATATATGCACTTAGTCCTGCATGCCCTACACATGTATAAAAAATACCTGAAACATTAGGCGTCCTACAGACATAAAAATATATTATTATTATCATTATTATTATTATTATTATTTACAGATTGAAATAATAAATGCAGCAAAGAGGGGTTGGGTGATCCTGGCACAGTCAGGCTGGTTAGGCTTCTCATCAGCTCAGGGCCCTTGCCCCCTCTACTGCGTACGCAGCCCAGACAGCGAATGGGAAGCGCTGCCTAGTCAACTAGTCAAACCCACCCAGAACTTTTCGGAAAATGTGAAGACTCCCCAACACTGCAGCCTTCTGCATTACCCAGATTGTCAGACGGGCTGTATTCCTGGTAGCAAACCCGGGTACTCTCCCAATGTTAGTCAACAGATTGGGAGGTACCAAACCCAAGGCACTGAGAACAATGGGGAGTCGTGACATTTCGAAAGCGAGGTCCTCATATTTGCCATGTTTTTCCTCAATCTTGTCAATCACATAAGTGTCAAAGGGGCAGAAAATTCAATGATATAAATAGTTTCATTGGTTTTATCAAAAAGGACAAGATCAGGTTTGTTGGCTTGGACACGTCTAAGGCTGAAAATGGGCCTATTCCAAAGACTTTTGTATTTATCATTTTCCATGACGCCCTCTACATATTCCGGGTCGTACCATGGGTGGACCGCTGTATCAAAACCACAAGCATGGCAAAGACGGTCATAAAATGATCGAGCTGCACCATCATGTTTAAGATCCTGTGTTTGTGCCAAAGCTGGGAATCCACTGACAATGTATTCTTCTTCTTCTTCTTCTTCTTACAGTGATGGATTGGAGGTTACTACATGATTGCACAGTACAACCTAAAACACCTTTAAACTACGTTAACTCATCTTCCGTGAACAGAGACTGTGATGCGAGTACCCCTTGAGAACGTGTATACACATTTACATACAGTTTGACTATTGAGTTTTCATAATTGTTTTTATAATGTTATTGCGCCATCCTTGTGTCTGGAAAGCCGTCATTCAGGACATGTTAGACACATGTTCAGTTCACAAGTTATGGTAGGTTCCCATCCAAATGCATACACCTGGCGGTTCAAACTGTCTACTGAAATATCCAATTATCCAAAAACATTCTCAAAACACGACGAAATACACAACGCCGCCATCCCACCTTGAACACCTCTGTTGGAACCTGAACACCGTCAACTCCCAGACTGAACAACCATTAACACTTGTACATGTCCCTGCAATCAACAATGTTGACCCAGTTGTACATTTGAGTCAATATCCAGTTCCTCTTAATGTTTTCAACTTGTCAAGTTTGAACTAGATCGTATCTACTTAGCACGGATAATCTGGCAAGTCGATTGCGATCCGAACGAGTTCCTTTCATTATGCCAGGCCACTCAACCTTGGTGCTCAAGTGAAGAATAACTGCCAAAGAAAGAACAACCTTGGACCAACTGCCTATATTTGTGTGTTTAAGACATCCACAAGTGATGTATGCTACAATAAATAGTTTAGCGAGGGGAATTTTTAGCATTATGTGCAGTTGTGAAAGCACAATATAACATTCTATGTTCTAAACTTGAGAAACTAAAAACCAGCATCAATAGATACAGATGAAACGGACTCCTCTTAAGCAGTTGTAGCAGCAACAGAGGTAACTGTAACGCTCTAATTTTGAATCGCGTATGGGCTTGTCAATGTGTTATTTACATACATAGAGCTGACTTGATGTTACGCAGTGTTGAATGGAGGTGATCGGGGAACTAATGAGAATTTAATGATTTTAAACGAAAGAAAAATCCCATAAAACTGTAGATCTGCGCGTTATTACCTGACTATAGACTTGGCTCCTGTTTTCAAAATATTGCGCGCGTGTGAAAACCGTATTGCCGTATCGTTGAATGGTGCATGTTCTTAAATATATGATTTAAAACCAATTTGTTCTACTACGTGTCAGTTATGTAAAACTACCTAGGTGTTAATGACGTAAACCTGTTAAAAGGAAATGTTATGTTAACGTCAAACGTGTCTTTGGGCGAAGGCGTATTCCAATGTGTTTGAGCTTCATCACAGCCATGGAAGACGAAAAACTACCCGTTTTAGAACATGTGATAATGGTTTCTTTGAGCCTCATTTCATGGGGTAACACCCTTGATACTGGGTTAACCCCTAATCCAACGTTTACCTTAGCAAAGTGCTTGGCTGGTGCACCCTCCACTTTAACCTTCCAAGTCTACCTGCACACTTCAAATAACCAGTCTTTGACAGTCATCGAAATTTATTAATATTTCACTATCGTAATGAGTGTGTGACGCTGATATGGAAGCTTTGAATGGAGGGTCTTGCCTCATATTGGGCGACTCTGGGCCATTATAAATCAGCCGGGAACGACTGAGCGGAGAAGCCAAAGCAGGGCTAAGAAAGGTGAATCCAGGGTCGGAGATTTATAGAGGGTTTAATTGGGGCTGAAAGCCTCCCGGTCCCAACTCTGACGTTCCCCGGGCCGGCGCAGGAACACCCCCGGTAACGACAACATCGTCGACCAGCAACCGGGTTCGGGTTGGTAACGAGATTGAAAATTTGTTTGCGGGTATTAATTCTTTTGTTTGTCAGTAGAAGGTTCCCCAAGCGCAAAAAATCCCTGGGAGTTTTCATCTGAAAAAAATGGAATTAGAGCGTCAACTGAGATTCACCATTGGGTTTCCAAACTAGAAATAAGTTTTGGAGACAGGAATTTGAGTGTTGCGGAGTCCTAGCCAGTAGTAGCATCTTCATTCAGACACGGTGGAGTCGCGCTGTCAATAACCGTTTTGAATGGTTTAGTAGATACACAAACTGCAATTATACATATTTGCCTTGATATTTGGACGAAGAACGTTCACAAGAATCAGCTGGGATGATGGATATGTTCCCCACATGATCAGTGCAACGACATCCGGATTAATTAACGATATACGAACTGACTCGTGGTTATAACGGGGTTAATCACATAGTCCTATAAATAGACGTGGTAAAGTACCTCTCCTTGGCTTTTCCACTTACAAGCTCAAGACATTTCATAATAAACACACACACATATGCCGAGAAGGAATGTTGGTTGAAATGCAGTATAAATAAGGATTGGTTTTACTATATATAAAAGTCCTTGGTATAGTTTGTAGTTTCTTCTCTGCAATAACATTTGTGTATCATTTTCAAATCTACGATATTCTGTTTTCTCGCACAGCAGAAATTCAGCAGAGTTCTTATGTAAAGTTCACAAATATAATTACCGTACTTGTTGCGAAAGACACTTTTCGTAATATGCTGCATGAATATATGAAGAGACCATCGAAAAGACACGTTTGTGTCTTGTGTTTAACTGGATAAAGATATATACCGTAAGCTGTAAGAAAGATAAGTGTTGTTTAATATAATATATAGTATCAGATATGGGAATCACATCACACACTGTGATATCGACAATTACCGGTGACAGTTTGACCGGTTTACTTTTGTGTTATGACAATAAGGACAAATGAAATATATTGCCTACTGGCGATGGATTGCAAGAAGAAGACGCAGTGGACACAGCTCGAAGGAAGAGAAGTACCTGGTTTATAGATGAGTTAGGAAAGACATGATCAAATTGATCTGTAATGTACATGCTGTCAACAAAGGTCTGGAACGAGACTGGTCTGTCTATCACCAGGAGTTCTACAGCAACAACACCAAAAATCAGATAACGTCGTTTCTGAGTGACGTTTTGACGGCGCGATATGTAGAGTCATTTTTTACAACTTGTGTATGTTTTGTTTCCTTATCTTTTTGTCAATGGTTGTCTATATCTTTCGTGTATGTAGTACCCTTTTGACACCTCAGTATCTTCAAAATAGGTCAGAGTGTTTTCTTAATATTTGTATTTTTTTTTTTTTGGGGGGGGGGGGGGGGGGACACTATACCCTCGACATTCTTGTCAAGCCGTTCCACAAATTCCCTTTATTTCTATTGTAATGCACGAGGTGTGGGTTTTGAAACTTAATGTTCACATTTCTGTGCAACCAGTTCAGGTTTAGCTTCTTTTATGTTGCTTTCCACATGGTATTTTTAGAGCTTTTAGTCAAGAGATCACAAGATACTCACTGAGAGCATGCGATAATCCTGTAATTGAGTCGTGCAAAAAGAAGTGAAAAGCAAGGCATGGTATAGCATAATGTAGATATGTATGACGAAAACATTTATGACGGCAATAAACTACATGAATGTCGTTAAACATAACGAGTTTGTCCCATCCATTACAATAAAGGGGTTTGAAAGAAATAATGCTACACGTTGGGAGTTCTGGTGCAAAAAATACGCAAACACAGGTGCTCCAACCTCCTGATAAACAAACTCTCCCTTTGATGAAGTCGATAATTATCAATTATGCTTACATAATTACCTTTATGGCATACGATAGCATCGGCGCGACACACTTAGAAATCAATTACGAATAGCATATGATCTGCAGACCTTTTAAACATATTGTTTCTCTGCGCATGCTCAAATGCGGAAGTTGCGATGCATGACGGGAATGCGTTGAAGTGGGAGCTTAAGTTTTGGATTTTCTGCATTTATCAGTTATGAAAATCTATGATATCATCGCTACCACAGCGTTAAATAATACCTGATATGTTTAGGAGCTTTTAATGATGCTTTATGAGCGTCAATGATCCTCTGTAACGGGTAATGAATTAAGATGAGTTAAATAACACTGGCATGCTTCTTACCCGATGCTCATTTATACAACGTTCGTACCGCGCCCAGGTGCGCCAGTTGTTACGAGTGTGTGAGAAAATCTGATTTATGGAAATCCCACTGAATATTTGAACGAATATGAAACGTTGAGGCCGGTTTGTTGCCATTATAATGCTGTAATATCACCTTTTGTAAACGTTCCAAACGTTCGTGGCATAATTACAGGTGAACATAACATCATAAAATGCCAACAATAGTCAAGAGAAAAATAAGAATGTGGTAGACCAAATTATTTTGATCTGTGAGAAACATTGCAAACTGTACCAGGAAATATGATGGTACTGATGTTAATCTTAGCGATGTGTCAAACAGCTGCATTCACATCGGATCAACCTGGGTAACATTTTCTCATCTTGCTCAAGGAAAAATTAATATACTAAATAAAATTTAGTATACCCGGTCAGAGGACTTTAGGAACATCACAAATATAAGAAACATTTAGAGACATTGTAATTGAAATGATGTCTTACCAGCTTTTTAGTAAGGGTAGGTGAATGACAAGGCGTTCAGTGTCTTTTGCAGGTTAGGTCTTGTTCAACGTTTTGAACATTTCAGCAATAACATGGTGTTGTAGCTTGATGTCGGAGCAAAGCCCACACCCAGACAGGTCAGAGATAACACGTGTGAATCCACTGTGTATGTGCTCTCTCACGACAAACCAAAGCTCATAACTTAACATGGTGCTTAGTCTTTACATCCACTTCTGTCGCCTTCAACCATTGAACCAACATGACATGTTTCATTAAGATTCGATAAACTTGGAACCTTACAACAGACACATAGCATGACATTACATTTACACACTATAATCGCCACGTGTGAATGCCACAGCATAAATAAAGGGGGAAAATAAACCATCTGTACTGGTCTTGATAAAACAATCGTTTCCTTAAGTCCACTGAAATCAATTCCATAAAATAGGTGTCGCATATTAGAAACAGTGAATCTGTTTATGGTGTGGTCATCCAATATCGAGTGTTTCCCAACATCTAGCGTATCACTATCTTCCCCCATCTTTTGATGTGGCTGGGCCATCCGTTCTAGCACCTGCATTCACCCATTGCTTCATGTCTTGGCTTCCCCGGGCGATTAGAGATCGATTATTACTCAATTATCTTCTGACATAGCTTTGTGATCTCGAGCTCCAAATGACCACTGCCTACTTGGATGGATTAGGCCGTGTCCAGACGTGTTTGTACTGCACGACCAACTCATAGGCTGTTACTTCGTATATATTGTCCTACTGTTAGACTGCCAGCAATTAGATATAAATCCGACTTGTTGAGGGATTGCGTTAGTTAGTTCAAACATATTTCATTCACAATTGAGGAACGGAAAGAATACCGCAGTTAGACACTAACAATTTGATTGTGGGCGAAGGAGGATTGAATGTTGTTTTACGTCAACACTATTTCACTGCACCTTGTAAATAATATTGTCATGGCTAAGCAAACCTAGGTACATGAGTGACTGGAATCGGGCACATTAACACACGAACACCAGGGACAGACATTGTAATCACCCGATCCACTTTGTTCGACTCATTCAAGCACCAGACTTCAAGTAACCTATTATACACGTACCCCCAATGGAGGAGACGAAGGGATGTTCAAATTTGCCACATTAATGTTGAGTCCTTGACAGTACGGACATATATTTTATGTGTATTTCCCAGTACAATATTACTTCAGTTTTCGCAAGTTATCACAGGCCCCACCCCACTCCTCCCCTGCTAACGCAGCTTACACACCAACAAAACAATTATCGATCGACACAATAACGATCAGGTCGACGGCAACTGCTAACATATAATAAACAATAATCAACTTGGAAAGTGAATTATTATTGTTTAATCATATTTTTGTGCTGGGTTAATAACTATACTACTTATGTAATCATAGAAAGGAATATTACTGTTTTAAATACATTTTCGGCTTATCTGATACAAACAGAAACATATGATATTTGTCAACGCAGCAACGAAACTGCCGTTCCGCACGTTGACTCCAAGATAAGATGACGACGATAAACATGTACAGGCCCCTGATTTCCGGAGCACACAGTTACCTCAGTTGTGAGGGTTTCTGGTACGGGAGGGGTGGACGCGCGAGTCCATAACGAATGTAGAACCCCTGTTCGTTTTAACAGGTCATCAAAGTTC